GAAGTAAACACTTACTCAAGCCTTTGTACACTGATTTAGCAGGGAAATCCTTTCACCAGGTAGCCCAGCTAGTTTAGAGATACTAGGCAGGCTGTCTGACATGATTTTTAGGTGAGCTTGCTGTTGGTGTTCTCAGACAGGCTAGTCTATGCCTGGGTAAGTAAAGAGCAGGCTTGATACCTGGTTGATCCTGGAACCTGGATCCATTGGGCAAGCACAGAACTTGTGTCTTTTGGGGGAGCTGCAACTTTTGGTCCCCGAGGCCTGGAGCTTGGTTTAGGGGCTGACCTAGAACCTGGATGCATGTAAACAAGTCTGAATTCTAAGTCCATGGGTGCCTGCCTAGCAATGGATGGGTAAGTAAAGAGCAGGCTTGATACCTGGTTGATCCTGGAACCTGGATCCATTGGGCAAGCACAGAACTTGTGTCTTTTGGGGGAGCTGCAACTTTTGGTCCCCGAGGCCTGGAGCTTGGTTTAGGGGCTGACCTAGAACCTGGATGCATGTAAACAAGTCTGAATTCTAAGTCCATGGGTGCCTGCCTAGCAATGGAAGCCTTAGCAATGGAGCAGCCTGGTTTGTGTCTATAGGGGCATGCATGGGTTCTAGGGTGGTAGGAACAAGCCTAGAAGCCAGATCTGCATGGCTGGCTCTGGAGCCTGTGCAGGTAAAAATGACCCAGTTCTAGGGTCTATGAGGACAGACTTGAGCTCTGGTTCTGCTGGAAGAGGCCTGGACCCTCAGTTTGCTAGAATATGGGGCTACAGGGGCTGGCCTAGAGGCTATATCCAAAGGGTCCAGTCTAGAGCAGGGGAGGGAGTGGAGGCTGGGTCTTTGGATGTTGATTTGGAATTTGAGACTGCAAAGGCTGTCCTGGTCCTATAAGACAATGGCTCTTGAGTTAGCAAGGGCTGGCCTGGAGCTGGGGTCTATAAGTGCTGGCTTGGTGCTATGATGTATCTGAACTTGGATCCACAGGTCTGGACCTGGAGTCTAGGGTTACAGAGGCTGACTCAGTGCTGGGGGTGGTCTGGAGCTGGAACTGCTGAGGCTAGCATAGTGCTGGGGTACACATGAATCCGAGTCTGTTGGACTTCATCTGGCACTAAGGTAGTCTGGATGCTTGGTTTGCAGGTGCCAGTCTGGAGTCTAGACCTGCCTCATCTCATATGTGGTTTTGTTGGGATGGGCTCAGTGTTATGATCTGAAGCAAAGTCCAGTACTTGCTTCTCCCTCCTTTTCCCAAGCAGAGGGGATCTCCCTGTGCTGTCTGCTATTCTGGCGGGAGACTCAGACAATATGAAACTATCCTCCCTTCTCTCTTCAGTGTGTTTTTCTTATTTCTATGCTACGCCCAGGTGCTATAGTCTTTTATGTGGTTTCCTGAACTCTTGTGAAAGTATTTTCATGCATATATCTTTGTTCAAATTGATGTTTTTGTGAGGAGAGAAGACCTGGAAAGTCCAATTCTGACATCTTGCTTATGTCATTCCTCTTATGAGGATTTAATGAGGTAATAATACACAAAACTGTACTTAGCTAAAAGCAGGCAATCAATACATGTTATTGTTACTGTAATAAAGTAACAGGGAGTGGGAGCTGGGGCAAAATTTGTCATGAAAAGAAGAATGCATATGGAATAGAATGAAATGGAGAGAATGAAGGAGATCAGAGACTGGGACAGGTGGTAGAAGGCCTTAGCACTGGAGTGAATAATGTGGAGTTTATGAGTTGGCAGTTCTGAGCTACTGAGGATTTACAAATAGGGCTAGGAAGATGAGCTGTGTTGACCAAAATTAGTCAGTAGCCACAGTAAAGATGGTTTGAAGAAACGAGGGAATTTAAACATGAAGAACACTTATGAACTTATTATAAGACTTTGGGTAAGAGGTAGTAAAGATCTGAATTTGTGTTGTGTTAGTAAGAATGGAGAAGAAATCTTAAACATAAGGGAAGTTTGTTTTGTTGTTGTTGTTGGTACTGGGGATCCATCTGTGGACCTTGCGCTTGTGAGGTAGGTGGTGGCACCACTGAGCTAAATCCCTGGCCCTAAGGGAAGTTTATGGAGTAAAATAATAGAGAAATTTTAAAGGAATTTCCAATTGTGGTTACTGTAATGAAGTTTTACAACATTAACATTGCAGTAAATAACATTAAAAAGAAAAGAGAAGCACCAGGTCAGGGAAGGAATTGTAAGAGTCAGACAATAGCACAAAATGGTAGTTTCAGTTTTTCAGATTGCCAGTTATCCCAATACTCTCTGCTCTGTTGTACTGATAGCCACCCAGCTATAGTCTTCATTTCCTGGGCTCCTTTGCAACTGGGTATTGCCAAATGATTTATTTCTGACCGATAGTATGTAATAAGAGTTATGTGTAACCCTTCCAGGTCTTTCCCTTAATTAAAGCTACTTGTTTTCTATTCTCCTTTCCAGTTCCCAATGGTCTGTAGGAATGTAGTTCAGAGGTGCCAACTTCCATTATCCAGGCAGTCAGAAAGCTATGGAGCTCTAACAGAACTGCCCTGTCGTCCTAACCCTCCAGCTCGGGTACCTCCATAAGAGGGAAGCAAAAATTGTATAAATTCAAGCATTTGTTATTTTGGTTTCCGTTAAATTAGTGCCTCAATATACTACCGGAGAGATGTTGATCTTGAGGCACTGTTGAAGGTAGAGGTAGCCAAGAGAGTTGCTCTAAGAGTCTTCTGAGTAAAGATAATGATCGAGTCATCTAGTAAGTGAGATCACAAAGCAAAATACTGTCAAGGAAGAAAAGATGAGGAAGGACCACAAAGAGCCCTGACAATACATATGGTAGAATGGAAGGAGGTAGAACTGGAACAGAGGTTGAAGCTGGAGACAGATTTGGAATGGTAATGAATTAAAGGGGGAAAAAGAGAAAGTGAAAAGAGAGTAGTGTCAGGGCAGTGGGGGTGGGATCCATAAGAAATAGACCGATAATGGGCCGAGGATTTAGCTCAGTGGTTCTGCTGCCTGCCTCACAAGTGCAAGGTCCCGAATTCAATCCTGGTACTAAAACAAACAAACAAACAAAAAGAAATAGATCAGTAATATCAACTTTTTCCAAGAAATCAAGGAGTTAAAAACTGGGAAAAGATTACCAAATTTGAGGTGCTAGAGTTTACTTATGACAGGAAGCGATCAGGAAAAAGTCGGATTATGTGTAAAGTCATCTGTTTATGAAGGTTGAGGATTTGTAATAAAATTTAGAGAGTTCAACCTAAAATTATGCCTTAAAAATTATAATGTGAAGTATATATGGAAATCCTTTTCTCTCCTGGACACAGAGCTTTATTCTTCTCCCACCCCTACCCCTTCATAGGGCTGGATTCAGTGCCTGGTTTCTGAAGAATAGAATATAGAACAGGAAAAAATAAACAGTGACTTTACAGAGGAGCAACTTGACAAACCACTGCTCTTCACCAAGTGCTGAAGGTCAGCCCCACAGGCGATAAGTCACAGGGATGTAATGTACCTCCCGATAAGATGCAATGAGAGGGCAATTCAGCTCTGTGGGTAGGCTTTCCCAAACCCACAACCCCAGGCTAAATATGAGAAAAACATCAGAAAATCTCAAACTGAGGAACATTCTACAAAAAACCTGAGTAGTGCTCTTTAAAACTGTCAAGGTCATAACCAAACAAACAATCAAGGACAGCCTGTGAAACTGTCTCAGATCCATGACTCAGGAGACTCGAAGACTAACTTCCATGGCCATTCTAGATGGAATCCTGAAACAGAAAGGAAAAGAAGAACATGAATGGAAAAATTGGCAAAATCTGGAGTTTTGTTAACAGTATTGTACAGTGCTAATTTAGGCAAATATACTATGGATATATAAAATGCTAAAACAGAGCAAACTGGATGAAGGATGTACTCTCTGTACTTCTTATCTTTGTGACTTTTCTCTTAATTTAAAATCACTCCAAATATAAAAAGCTTATTTAAAAAAACTATACTGCAAGAGCAGAGCCTACTAGGAATAAGCAAGTTTGAAATATGGAGTATCCAGGCCCCTATGTCTCCACCCTTCCCTTCCTCCCTTCCCCCAAGAAAAATTTTTCCATTAGTCCATTATTACAGTACAAGGGAATGTTCAATTTCACACTGTGTGTGACATTCCGTGCCAACTAGAATAGTTAATGCAACTTTACATTTATGACTCTGCTTGGGTGTGAATTATTGTGTTTATGAAAATCTCCATATTAATGTCTGATTGTAAATCATTCTGCCGGCTCCTTTTATTAATAGCTCAATTCCCACTACTCACTGCTGCAAGCCATTCAAATTACTGCGACTATACGGGAGAGGGACTGCTTCCCATTTGTTTCTCATCTACATCTAACCATCCTGGGCTTTGCTCTCAAGCCTCCATTCTCTGGACTGCTCATGCCAGTTACTTCTGATTATGTTTCTTTGTTGGTGAGTTTGGGCAGCTTCCCTGAGAAGTCTTATTTCTTACACTCTATTTCTACATTTCTTCATCTTTACAAACACCCAATGGAAGGTGATTGGGCATGGATTCTGGAGTCAGATACACTTGGGCTCAAATCCTTATGATAGTACGTTCTTGAATCTCTCCGAGTTCCAGTTTCCTCACCCATGGTGGTAATCTACATACCTAGTAGAGGTTAAATGTAGCCAGGTGTTATAGCACACACCTATAATCCCAGCACTTTTAGAGGCTGTTGGAGTCTAGTCTTGGGTAGTCAGCAACTTAGTGGGATATTATCTCAAAATAAAAAATAAAAATAAAAAGAGCTAGAGATGTAGCACAGTGTGAAGGCCATGAGTTCAATACTCAGTACTACTAAGACACACACACACACACACACACACACACACACACACACAGAGAGAGAGAGAGAGAGAGAGAGAGACAGAGACAGAGACAGAGAGAGAGAGAGAGACAGAGAGAGAGAGAGAGAGACTATGATACCTGTAACACAGGTCAGTTCTTGCTACATGGAAAGCCCTAGGCGGTCTTTGTGTTATCCACAGCAGACAGAGCAGAAGGAACGTGGACTGGCAGCTGGAAGATCTGGACTCTTGCTGCTATAAACGCACAGATGACAGTGGGAGTCACTTCACATCTCTGACCTCTCACTTCTCCCACTTGTAAAGTAAGGGAGCAGCCTCTCCTAAGGTTCTGGACCAGGACGTACATCAATGTTCCAAGTATGCAACAGGTGCCCCAGCCTGGAAGTGGCCCTTTCACCCTTTTTTCCATTTCTTCCCTTCCTGCCAGTGCTTTCTCCTAGGTAAGATACTGCCCCACCAGGACTGCAGCTCAGGGAGCCGTCAGGAAGGGGTCAGCCTTGAATTTTCTAGGCCTCCTCACACAGCAGCCATCAGGCCCCCTGTCCCAGCCCCCTTTCTGGCAGGAGGGGAAATATGAAATCCCAGCAGGCAGGGAGGTTTTTTATGCTTCTGTAAATCATTAAAGTGGCCAATATTTTCCTTTGCTGCACTTCTCTCACCTCACAATATTTTTTTTTCCTGCAGTGAAATCCATTCCCCCAGCCTAGAAACGTGGGCACTTTATAGAAAATCTTTAGCTTGTACCAGCACAAATGGATGGGTCTTATTTCCTGTCTGCAGTTCATGGTGTTGCAAAGGCATTGCCAAAAACTATCAACTGAGACATAAAAGCAAAAAAAAAAAAATGGATGAGGATGAATGTGGGCACGTTTATATGTACATTTACAAGCATGATCCAGTCTGTGCTCAAAGGAAAAGTCCATGCAGTGGCCTCCTAGTTCACAGCCCATGCCCCAAACACCTGTGCATAAAGGTAGGAGTGGAAAAAAGGATCATGTAAAGGGACCAGGGAAAGCTCGAGAACCCTGGTACACGTCCCTGATCCTTGCACCCTAAGGCTGGAAAGAGCACAATTAAATAACTACTTTTTATGTGATTTTAAAAAGAAAAAAAAAACATATTCAACCCTTTGGAATTCTTTTAGTAATGTGACATTTCCTAATAACATCTGGGTTACATGGCCTAAAGGGGACAACTTTTTGCTCTATATAATGTCATGTAGTCTTCTGAAGGAGCCAATTACTACCTGGGTTTTGCAGGTGATGAGACAGAGGTCCACGGGGATGAGGCACCACGCTGAGAAGGATCACCCAGCTGGGAACTGCGGCAGTGGGGACTCAAGCATGCTCTTGTGAACCGCGCCTCAACCTTCTTTCTGCTCTATCACATCTCCTCCCGGAGAAACATGGGCTGGACGGTAAGGGGCCTCCTGAGCCGGGCTTTCTCCCAATCACAGGGCTGCCAGTCGGTGTGAGAAAGAGCCTTGGGGTCAAGCATCAGAGAGAGGAGGCACTGGTGAAGAAGGCACAGTGGGAGCAGTGGGCCTCCGCCACTCACCTGGGTCGTGCTCACCCTGTCTTGCATTGGGTCAGTGCCGGTGCCTGCACCATTTATTTATTCCCTGTGCGGCCCTGTTTGTGCGCATTTCCTTGCGTTTAGAAGGAGAGTGATCCATGTTGCCCGGGGCAAAGTGCCCTGTGGGAGGTATGTGTGTGATACAGATGAGGCCCTTCCTCCCTTCTTCTTTTCCCCACCCCTCCCCTCCATTTTTACTCCTCCCTCCTTTTTTTCTTTTCTTTCTTTCCTTCTATCTCCCTTTTCTTCTGTTCATTTTCGTTACTCCATGCCTGAACCCAAACAGCCTGAATCCCTCGCTTGAGGAGCCAAAACTGTCCAGTGGTCCCTCCCCCTGCTCACCCCTTTCCCCGACAGGACTCATCACTCTCGTGTTCCAGGCCAGACGGCCCATGGGCCACTTTCCCTGACCAGACCCAGGTACCTCCAGTTGTCCACACCCCTTCCTACTGCACACGCTCTCACCTGACAGGACTGTGCTCAGAGTAAGCCCTCCACCCAGAGTGCCTAGCCTTGCGTTGGCTCAGGCCTCCTCCCCAAGGCCAGTCTCCAGGCTCTAAGAAGAGGCTGCCCCCCACCTTCCCCACCGTGGTTACGAATATCCCAGAGCAAGACTCCTAATGACAAATGACTGCCCAAATAGGGGCAAGACCAAAGCCAGTGCTTCCAGGGCCGGTGAGGTCCTTCCTGTGGAAAGAAGGTGCAGCTCCACCCCGGTCGTCCGACACCTCCTCCTCACTGCTAAACGCCACCTCTCTCTTGACCCAGGGAGGCTCCACCTGGGCCCGTCCCTGTCCTCTCCTCCACTCCCCACTCCAGTTCCTGTCTGTGTCACTCCCTTCCCATCACATCCCCCTTCTCTGGGCAGCACAGAGTCTCTGGAGTTGAGGGGACAGTGGCCGTTTGCTTTTTGTTCCTCCTTAGCTGTTCCATTTGTTGAGCGAGTTGTTTGCTCCCTGGCTCAGAGCAGGGGGCTGACACAGCTCACCCTCACTAATTAGCTAAGCCAGCTGGTGCATTGGTAAAGTTTTTCTGTGCTCCTTAGTGTGTTTCTTTTTTTAAACATGATCAATACCCCTCTCCGGCTGAGCTCTCTCACATACTGCCTATTGTTGTCCTGCTTGCATTGTGCCCAAGTCCTGGTCAAGGACTCACGGAGCCCCAGAAGACACACTTTTCCCAAGCCTGGCCCTGAGCCTGGAGCTGGGGACCCGGCAAGGCAGATTCAACCCCACCTCCCTGCCCTAAGCCTGACACCCGCAGTGATTTTCAGTAGCTGTGGACAGGCCTACTTGGGCTTTAGACAGTTTGGTAAAGATAAAAAATTGCTGTGTGACTCCTGAGCAAATTACTTTCCCTCTCTGGGCTTCCATTTCCTTGTTTGTAGAAGGAGGTGTTAATTCTCAGTTCTGCTGTGGGTGCCCCGTGCCTTGATTCTCAAAGTTCTCAAAGCAACTTCCAGAGATTGGAGCTTTCCAGTGGGAGGGTCATAAGGAAAACATGTTCACAAATAGAATCTCAGTTGTTCCTACCTCAATTCTAGAGACAGACCACACATACCTTTGCCAGGTGGACTCAGAAGAGGACACAGCCAGGCAGGGACAGGCTGAAGACCCAGGCCCCTCTTCTTGATCATCTTGGGCCCCTCAAATCCACTGTCATCCTTTGGAAGAATATTCTCTGATTTTTGTCCTCCAAATTTTCCCTCTGTGGTGACTGGGTTCCCAAGGTGCAGGCTGCAGAGAGAATGACTTGGCTACTTCAAAGACGGTTTTATTGACAACTCATTCTAGGGCTTAGATTTTTTTCCTGCTGCTTTCTTTGGATTAATAGTCTCTTCTGAAAATTTTGAATGAACCATGATTTTCTTATTCTTCTCCAAGCTAATACATTTTCCTCAAAAATTGGTAGTAATAATCTCACTTTTATTGAAAACAGTATGTGCCAGACATATTATAAACAAGCACATGACATAAGTATTTTATTAATTCTTGCAAAGTACACTGGCTGTCGTCATTTGACAGAAGCCTGGAGAGGTTAAAGGACTTGCCCAAGGTCACACAGGTAGAAAGTAGGAAAGTCCAGGAGCAAGCCCTGCACCTTCTGCCCTCACACCTTCTCTTCCTGACCTCCTCTTGATTCTCTTACCTAATGTTCAGCACCCCTGAGTGCTGACACTTTTACCACCTCTGATGACAGCATGAAAGAAGTGAGAGGACTCCAGACTCAGGGCTAAGCTCAGGTTTCCAGACCTGACCTCATGGCCTCCTGGCAAATAAACTCTCCAAGCCTCTTTTATCCAACTTCACAGAATTACCACGGAGAGTAAGTAAGGTAGCGTTCATGAAAATGCTTTGACAACCATAAAGCACCCCAGAGACACTTAGTATCACGCTTTGTGCTGACCGTGGCTGAGAAAGAGAACCAAGTCTCCTCTGTGCAAAGAAAGAGTGCTTTCCTCCCAGGCTATGCCTGCCTCGTCCGTCAGCCCGGCTGCTGCCCCTGCGAACATGGATGGGCGTCCCCGCCTCCCCTGGCACTGGTCTCTGCGGGCGATCTCCAGCTCCCTGACTCCCTAGCTTCCTTCTGGACACAGAGGCAGCTGAAATGGCTGAGTCAGCTGTATTTTCTCCTGTCTCAGGGCTCCCTTAAACCTGTTACTGTAATTGGCTCCGTGATACAGCAGGTATGCTTGCCATCCAGCAAGTCCCCTGGGGTGGCCCCATTAATCGCATTTGCTCCCGCTCCCTCTCTGGCTAGCTCTGAGGACAGCAGGTAGGTGCTGTGTGGAGCCTCTGTGTGTGTAGGTGTGTGTGAGAGAGAGAGGGAGACTGTGTCTGTCCCCTGGGAGCAGCTGGGGACTGAGTTCCCTTGCAATAAAGTGGGTTGTTTCTTTTCTGATAACCTTAATCCATCCGCCTTCTTTAAGGAAGTGACAGTTCCCCAGCCCCCATGATGCATCTCTATGACAGGAAGAAATCAGCTATTTCAATCCTTTTCCACATGGAACAGGCTTCAGAGCTGCCATGCATCAGTCTGCCAGGCCTCTCTGCTATTAAGAGCGTCCTTTTCTAGTTTATTTGTTGGTTCCTGGACTCCCTACACAACCTAATGGACCTCAACGCCCAGGAAGCATCTTGTGGTGTTCTGCTAGGAGCTGACTCTCTCATTTGGGGCTGGGACCCACCAGAACCTTCAGCCCCACAAGGTTCCCTCTGCTAGAGGAGCCTGAGAGTCCCCTCAGGGAGGCCCAGAAGCGGCCCTGCAACAGCACACTCCTTTGAAGTCATATGTTTTATCTCAGGAAATCATGTGGATTTTATGTACCTTTCCATTTCCAGAATGCATATGTGTTTGTTTTCACATAAGCATGTTTTAACCCTAAATCTTCAAGTAAAATTGATGCTCCAGGATGATAGACATGTTTATTTAGTGCCTTTATACCACCTACCTTGCTATGATTTTCCCTTAGGGGTGTAAGAGAAGCATATGCAATAAGAACAACAGAAAAAGCCTGAGTCCTCCCACCTTCCCTGCCCTGGCTTCTGCAAAAGAGCTCCTGTCTGTCTGCCTCCTGCAACATGTGAGTCTTCTATGCTCCATACTAGGAAAATGGGGAGAAACAAAGAGCCGGGGAAGCTGGAAAGGCTACATGGATCCACAGTCTCTGGAGGCTCCAAAATGTTTGTGGAGTAAATTCTTTTCCTTCCTGCCATAGCTCAGTGTTATTATCAATAATGAAATCCTAACCAGAGAGAGAGAGAGAGAGAGAGAGAGAGAGAGAAAGAGACCTTTTCTCAGTTCCTAACCCTCTCCAAAGGGCTAGGAAGGTAATAGCCTCCTTTTCATTAATATCTGCCTGCATGTACCAGCCCTGGAGGGTAGAGGGAAGCTGCTTAATAAGGTAAGTTCTTAGCAGTTAGGACACTGAGAAATTTGGGAGAGACAAACAACTTCAGACTCATCTCCAGTGGAAAGCCAGTTAAAGAGAAAACTGACATTGGTATTGAGTAGACCAAAGAACAGAAGTCTAGGAATATCAGAAAACAAAAGTAGGGAGAATTGATTTGGCTGAGAGGAGGACTGTTGGATGATCAAGGGGATTTGTCTGGACTGGACTAGTAGGATACGTCCCCAGAGGCCAGGCAACCCTACTTAGAACAACTTAGAACTCCTTGCCCAGAGGCAGGGGGCCAGGCCAGGTGATGTGACCTTTTGTAGCTACCTTCTTCCTTCCCACACTCGATGTAAGTTCCTATGGGTGAGATAAATGATAGGACACAAAGTCACAACCTGATGTAATATTCGCAGTATTTCTCAGACAGACAAGGGAAATGTTCAGCTCTGTGACTTCAGTTGATACAACAAAGCCAAACCTTTCTCACACAAGCGTAAGAGGAAGAGAGCTGTAAACATCGCTGAGTGCTCTGCAGACAGCCCCGTAAGGAGATGCATTCAATGGGGGTGGCAGGGTGGGGAGGAAAGATGAAGCTTGCCAAGTCACAGTGCTCTGATTTGCAGGGAGCGTAGCATGGATATTTCAAATCATTTCCTTTTCGTTAGTACCTAATCTCCCAGCTGTTCTCTGCACTTTGGTTCAAATACTGGGAAACAGCCTCAAATGTAAAAGCCACGGGGCTCCTTTAAATTATGTTGTCTTGTTATACTGGAGTGTCACGTCAACCCAAACTACTGTACAGTTTCCGGAAGAAGGGAATTTTGTCTGATGATGAATTTAAAGGAAAATGAGTCATTTTTTATCAAGGCCCTTTAAAATTAAACAGAGCTTGGAATTTGGTCTTATTTGAAGACTGGGAAGTACTTGAGGGAGATTGTCACGGTTACTGTCTCTGCTCCTTCCTGCATCTCGCCAGGCTGCAGCGTCTGAAGTAACTAGGAAACATTGGGCATCAGGGAAGTGAAACCAACAGCTAGCATCAGAGTCTCAGTGGAACTTTATTCTATTTCCATTAACTGACTGCAGTGCGTTAAACTGTTATATATGCCTGTTCCCATAAGTTAACTCATTTAGCCCTGTGAAGCACGTGGCATTAGCCCCATTGTTTCCACTGTAGAAACTGAGGCCCAAAGAGGTGAATAAAAAGAAACTTGCTCAAGGATTCCAAATTAAATAGCTGTGTAGCCAGGATTTATTTAAATGAAGGTTTTCATGTCCAAACTTGGACTCTTTCTGTTCCAACAGGAAGTCTCATTCCACATTCATGTATTCATTCACTCCTTTATTTATATACTCAATAAACATGCACTGGGCATCTACTGTGTGCCTGGCACTGGGGACACAGAGATGACTTAGCCATGGTCCCTGCACTCAAAGATTGCAGAATCTAGTGGAACTCATAGTCTAGTCTTGAAATATTTATTCAACAAATATTTAACGTTTAGTAGAACAAACAGCTGGCCTGATGGAGCTCGGTTCTTAAGCAGTTGTTTTCCTGGCCTGTAGTTTGTTATCGCTATTGTTTTATGAATGGGTGACATGCCCATTACCCATGCTCAACAGGCAGGACAAACCAAGATGTGTACCTAGAAGGCCTCATTGCTGACTCATTAAGCCCAGAGTCTGGCCAAGACACCATTCCTTTTAGAAGCTCTACAGGTGAATTATCTGAGTTCCAGCTGAAAACCAGAGACTGGAGGAGACATATTCCTTTAGGGACATAAGAATAATTTTGCTTTTCTGGTTTTTATCTTTTATTTGGGGCTTAGAAAATTAATAAAGAGGATTTCCCCCCACAGTTTATGATTTTTTGGGTTACTCTATTAAAAAGATACTCAGACTAGACATCAACCGGCAAACGTCACATATTTGCCAGTGGTTGACAATTATTTTTTTAAAGTTATTGACTCGGCTGGCTATTCATCCTAGTTCCTGCCCTATCCCATGATCCTTTATGAAACACCCTCTTAAAGTCTTCATCCTGTCCCTCCCATTGCTTCAGAAAATCTCATCAAGAATTCCTCCTGCCTTTTCCTCTTGCCTCTTTTGTCCCACAGTGGAGCCAGATCTTTGCCTGAACCCAGACACCTGATCCACATCCACTGGCCTTCTTCCTTCTCATGCCTGTTAGACCCTGGCTGCATGGTGAGCAAACTCCTGAACTAACCTGTCTCTTTATTCAGCTCTGACTCCTTGAACCCCTGGGCGCATATTTGTTTGATAATAGGGTACACCAGACCACTATGATAATAATGAGGAAAAGAGAGACAAAGAAAAGAAATAAATAGATGAGAAATGAGGATAGTGGCAGAAATGCCATCCATTTTTCTCACCCCATATGTATATTTTTAATTCCAATAATCACTTAGCACAAAACAGAATCACCTGAAAAAAAAAATATGGAGTTGTCCAACTATTTTGCAGACAATAAAAGCAAAGCTCCCAAAGGGTAAGTACTTCTCCCTAAAGCCCCAGCCTATTGTGCCACCATTAGAAACCAAACCCACGGAAAGATGCAGATGAAAAAACATTGAGATTCCACCTCACCCCAGAAAGAATGGCTGCTATCAAGAAATTAATCACTAACAATGCTGGTGGGGTTGTGGGGGGAAAGGAACCCTTCTCCATTGTTGGTGGAAGTGCAATATGGAGATACATCAAAAAACTAGGAGTAGAGGTCCCACTTGACCCAGCTATCCCTCTGCTGGGTATTTTTCCAAAGAATTAAAAGAATCATACCACAGCAATATATGCTCACCTATGTTTATAGTGACACAGTTTGTAATAGCTAAAACTTAGAAACAGCCCAGTGCCC